GTCATTAACTAAACCATCTGTTACTAAACTGTCATTAACTAAACCATCTGTTACTAAACTGTCATTAACTAAACCATCTGTTACTAAACTGTCAATAACTCACCCATCTGTTACTAAACTGTCAATAACTCACCCATCTGTTACTAAACTGTCATTAACTAAACCATCTGTTACTAAACTGTCAATAACTCACCCGTTACTAAACTGTCAGAACTCACCCATCTGTTACTAAACAGTCAATAACTCACCCATCTGCTACTAAACTGTCATTAACTAAACCATCTGTTACTAAACTGTCAGTAACTCACCCATCTGTTACTAAACTGTCAGTAACTCACCCATCTGTTACTAAACTGTCAATAACTCACCCATCTGTTACTAAACTGTCAATAACTCACCCATCTGTTACTAAACTGTCAATAACTCACCCATCTGTTACTAAACTGTCAGTAACTCACCCATCTGTTACTAAACTGTCAATAACTCACCCATCTGTTACTAAACTGTCATTAACTAAACCATCTGTTACTAAACTGTCAGTAACTCACCCATCTGTTAGTAAACTGTCAATAACTCACCCATCTGTTACTAAACTGTCAATAACTCACCCATCTGTTAGTAAACTGTCAGTAACTCACCCATCTGTTAATAAACTGTGATTGTTCTGAGTTTTAATCTGCACCAAGGGAAGATGAGCTTCAGTTTCAATGCTCTTCCTTTAATCAAATATACTAACAGGGTTCCTGCTCAGCCTTCWGAAGGTTTAATTAAGTTTGAGTATTTTCCAGCTCTGTAAAARGATGGAGGAAACAATAACAGTTTGGAAAACATTGTTTTTAGTTTCTGTTCTCTGTTGTGTTTTTTAAAGAATAAATTCAAACTTTGTAAAAATAAAACAAGTTCAAAGTTAGTTTATTTGTGTAAAAAAGAGGATGTGGTCCTCATGATGTAAACCTCTGGTTTCTGCACAACACCAAGCATTAATGTTTAGTTTTTAGTCTTTAATATGTTTTCATTGAGAACAGAGGAATCCTACAGTTTCTCAGGTAGCTGTGCCTTGTGATGGATTGCTTGATCTCTAATAGTAATGTTTAATGTCCAGAGCTCTTCATGTCTTTACACAACACTGTTAATCCCAAAATACTTCTAATAAAAGCACCATGAATGATACATGGCTGTTTCACAGTATGCAGCTTTAAAATAGACTAGCCCTTGTTTTATTTATTTATTTATTGTATGGAAGAACACAAACAGTAACTAATACCAATATACAAGGCTAATTAAGACAAATTACAAAAACCTTGTTTTGTTCGTTTAACATGTAGTGTACGGTTGGTAGTTGGTTTTTTTTTTTTTTGTGGTGTTTAAAGCAAACACATAATAAAACCACTACTGTATTAATATTTATAATGTGTTTATAGATGTTTAGACCGTTAAAACGACTCCAAAATGATCAGAATTGTTTGAAAACTAGTTTTTGGAGAAACATTAAAGATGGACATTGTGTAGTAAGCCTGTTTTAGGACATTACTTTAACCTCAGTTGGACTTCTTGGCCTTTGACTTAGTTTTTTTTTTTATTGAATCTTTTTTCCCCCAAACAGGAGGAGAATGAGAAAAAGARGGAAGTGGAGGCAGATGCAGATTCCCCTGATAGGTGAGAAACTTTAATGATAATGGGGACAAATATGTAATGTTTTGGTGTTTCAGAGTTTTTTGACTATCTGAATTTTGTACCAACTCTGGGAGTTTGAAAAAAATGTGTAATAGAGCTAGTAATTCTGTTGTTTTTTCCTAACATTGATGTTTTTATTTTACATTTGTCACTAATGCACTATCAACCAAGAGTGACACAACAATAAACTTGATCTTTATTAGCCTAATTAAATACCTGTTCTTAACATGATGACACATTTTTATGAGAAGATTACTTCTGAAACCTGACTAATGCTCCATCATCTAACTACGGACCAGGAAAATGTTAGTCTGGTAAAATAAAACCTTTTACAGGTGATGGAACAATACGGTCTTTAAGAGGGAGCTTGGTTGTTAACAGCTTTGTATGTTAGGAGTAATATTTTAAATTCTATTCTGAATTTGACAGGGAGCCAGTGGAGAGAAGTAAAACTATTCAACATAGAAGCTTTAGATTTCCTTTTGTTCTTTAGCTCTGATGAAAAGCTATCCATCAGGCCCACCAATGAGCCCCCCGGGCCCCCATCAATGGTGCATTGATGCTTTGCATACGTACAGGAGTCATATATACATACTGTTATAGTATCTAGTGTCTTTTTTTTAAGCGACTGAACTTTTAGGTTTGAGCAGACATTTTGCTGAAGCTCCTGGGATGACTGAAAATAAATTCAGTCACTTTTTCTCAGGATTTATTTTTCTCCTGAACGACTGAAAATCATCACCAACAGAAGTTTTTGCATCATTTTTTCCTCAAATAAAACTCAGAACTGCCTACCTCGGCACTTCTCAGCTACCTTTTGTTTTTGTTACAACATCTCCTCCTCGTCCCCCCCTCAGCCCTCCCCCCCCT